GTGAGAGTGGAGGGGGGGAACAATAAAACCCTCAGGTACATCTGCTTTGCAATCTGCAACCCCCCCCCTACACACACACACACACACACACACACACACACACACACACACACACACACACACACACACACACACACACACACACAAATCCACTTTACAGAGAATCCATTAAAAACACAATGTAAAATACACAGCGTAAGTTGCACTGCAATAAAATCACTACTAACACAATATAAATATAGGAGTATATTTGACTAGTGTGCAGAATACTTTTTTTTAACGAAATTGAATATCAATCTCAGAAGAAGACTTTATTAATCCCAAACGTGGACATTACTTATGTTTTGGTGTCAAAATGCGTCAACGTGCGGTTTGTTTTTGGATATCGAGTTATCCTGGAAAGTCTTTGAATGTCTTAAATTCTAAATGTGAACACAAATTGCAGCCAGAAGTTATTTTACAGATTATAACTCTGTTTTATTAGATTATTATTTAGGTTTGGAGCTGCTGCCGTGCTTATTTGAAAGATATAAACAAGATTATTTTCATAATAATACAATATCCATCACTTTACTATATTAAATTACATTCAATAATGCTGCTTAAATTATGTTATATTTTAAAATATGCGGCTATGTCATATAAAAAGGACAGTTTTGATATTGCATAATAGTAGTCAGCCCAATTTAAAATCCATTTATATAAAATACAATGTATTTTTCATCTGGTTCTTGAATCCTTAACGTTTTGTTTTCGGGAGATTGTTTCCACTTGTAGCCGATAAAGTCCACATTGTTTCAAGGATGTTAGAATGCTATCTTAATACTGGGGGGAAGGCTCATTAGGCAGGTTGTTGAGAATCACCTCCTCTCTCTCCATCCTCCCACTCTCCCAAATCCACTGGGGAGATCTCCTGCTTCTGATTGGTCGGTGATGAGTCAACGAGGAGGGGGGGTGACGGGAACAATGTCATCATGTCGCCTTTAAAAAGAGTGCAGCTATGTTTGTGGTGAAAGGAATCAGAACAGGGAGCAGAACGGACGATCAGTAGCGGCAGAAACAGACGCGGCAGAAACAGACGCGTCAGATGTCCTGAAAGTGCATCTGCTCCCTTCCCCAAAAAACAGTGCCTTCCGCTCTCCATCCAGCAGAAACATGCCCAGAGGATTTTTAGTGAAAAGGAACAAGAAACCAAACCCGGTGTCGTACCGCGTCCGCGTAGAGGATGAAGAGCCTTCAGCTGCTGCCGTGCCACCTCCACCTCCCCCGCTCCTGCCGCGTCCCTCCTGGGTGCCTCTCGCATCCTTCCCGGTGCGCGCACAGACTCCCACGTGCGGGGCGGTGGCTCCGGAGCGCTTGGAGAGACCGGTGCAGTTCGGTAACCCCGAGGCAGTGTACCAGGCTCTCTACAGCCCCACGCGCCCCGTCAGCCAGGACCACGAGCGCTCCTACGAGAGGCGCTTCAACCTCTCCGCCGCTTCCTTCCCCACCGGAGCGGCCCTCCCCGCGGCGCTGGACCGCCCCTTCGCCCCGGTGGATCTGAAAATCGGTTCCAGCAACAGCAGTCGCACCGGAACCTTCAGCGTCACCGCATCCACCGCGACGCTCCCCACAAACACAAAGCGGCATTCAAGCGACACCGAGCGCAAAGGAAAACCAGCATCCAAGAAAACCAAAACGATCCGGAAACTGCACTTTGAGGATAACGTCACCACGTCTCCGGTGCTCGGGCTCAAGATTAAAGAGCCGGTGGACCGGAAGCCCCCCAGTCTCACCGGGGAGGAATACATCCCGCTGGGGGAGTTCGTCTGCCAGCTGTGCCGCGAAGAATACGCGGATCCTCTCGCCCTCGCGCAGCACAAATGCTCCAGGATCGTGCGCGTGGAGTACAGGTGTCCCGAGTGCGACAAGGTGTTTAGCTGCCCGGCGAACCTCGCGTCGCACAGGCGGTGGCACAAACCCAAGCAGCAGCAGAGTGTCGTGCAGCAGCATTTGGAGAGCGACAAATCTGCCGCGTCCGGTAAAACAGCAGCAGCTTTGGATGAAGCGAAGGATTCTAGTGACAGAGACACAACCAGCCCGGGACCCTCAGAGTCCGGGTCTGAGGAGGGGCTTTATGATTGTAACCAGTGCGGGAAAAAGTTTAAACGCCAAGCTTACCTGCGGAAACACCTGGCGTCTCAGCACTCTAAAGTAACGGAGGATGACGAAGCAGCAGCGGCAGCGGTGCGCGAACAGAGCGCAGCACCGCTTAACCTGAGCGCCTGCCACCTGTGTCCGGTTTGCGGGGAAAACTTCTCGAACCGGGGCAGCCAGGAGCGTCACGTCCGCCTGCTGCACTCCTCCCAGGTGTTCCCGTGTAAATACTGCCCCGCGGTGCTCTACAGCTCCCCGGGGCTCACGAGACACATCAACAAGAGCCACCCGTCCGAGAACCGGCAGGTGATCCTGCTGCAGGTCCGGTAATCTGCTTTCACACCGGGACACACATCCCGATCTGTTCCTGAGAGGGGTTTTTAGAGATACACTGCAAACATATCTGGTTTATTTCAACGTTTGGGCTGCTAAAATCTGACTTTTTGGTAAAATTGAGTGGAAAAGACATGGCACTTGGGTGGGAGGCAGTAACTCCTGATTTTAGTTC